TATGTATGTATGTATGAATGTAATGTATGTATGTATGTATGTATGTATGTATGTATGTACGTATGTATGTATGTATGTATGTATGTATGTATGTATGTATGTATGTATGTATGTGTGTGTGTGTCTGTTTGTTTGTGTGTGTGTCCGTGTATGTGTGTACATATCTGAGTATGTTACGTATGCATGCATACATGCATGCAATGCAATGCAAACTGCACAGTAGACTTTTACTTGTTGACTTGTTACGCAGGAAGCCACAGCGTTGTGAAGAGACAGCTCGAAGAAATTGCCAATCCGTGGCCATTCTCTTCTCGTCGAGGCTTGCAGACCGCCAACACACGGAGCTCGTTGCGACAGTGCAACGCACCTTCGAGACTTGTTCGCCTTGGGATCAGCACGGCTTGAAATCATGTCGGCATCTTGTTGCATACAACAGCTGTCTGTGAACTTGGCCGGTGTTGAAGCTACACGACAGAAGACACGGGTCTGCTGTTGTTTGATGTTTATTTTGCAGGACGGCCGAATCTATCAGTATTGGATACGGCAGTTGTTAGCGTGGCAGCCGCACCTTGATCCTCCGAGGCCATCAGAGCCAGGCTGGAAATTCTGTATGAGGGGGGATTCCTGCCCATGCTAATGCAACCGAGGAGATGCTGGCGAGCAGAGAACGTCCGGTTGAAAAGGCCCGTCGGCTGCCTGCAGTTCGCACTTCGCAGGAGAGCATTTCTGTAGCGGTGTCTCGTCGTGCCTTTCAGGGCGAAGGCACCGGAGGCATCTCACTGTCCCAGGCTTGCTAGGACGGAGTCATGACCTCAACATGAGGATCTGTGCCAGGCGAGAAGTTTCAGCTCTGCCTACGAGTTGATGGACGAGCTTGCCGCCAGAGCTCCAGACCATCCTTATCTGGCCCTCCGGCACTGCATCAGATCTTGGGCCTTTGGTTGGTTCAGGCTTGCAAGCGGGGCTTTTGCTTTCGACAATGGCGGTGCTGCGAGGATGAGGACCGGGGGAACGAGATCGCAAGCGCTTGCCAGGCCGGTCAGCTTCGTAGGGCTTTCAGAGAGCTGCAGCGCAGGCAGCTTGGAAGTTTCGCCCCGCTTTCCGTATCGTCCCAACATGACGAGTTAGGGAAGCTAAGCCAGCGAAGCTGGCTCTTTCGGCAGCAGTCAGCTTAGCCATTGTTACCGGGAATCTAAAGCCTCCTCGACTATGACCTTTGAGGACTGTGCTTGTTGCGAGAGCTACCGAGGCAGACCGAAGCCCTAAAACCTTCAGCCCGCAGAGGCTAATGGAGGGCTGCGGAGAGAGAAGGAGTGACACAACTTCTCACTTTATGTCGAATTTGTGGCATCGAACAGATAATGAAACTGTGGCCATGCTGTAGCCCAGATGGATATCGACTGTAGTCGAACAGGAGTATCGCTTGTGTCGCAATACGTGCAGGCCGCGCAGGCCGCAGAGGCCGCGAAGGCCACGAGCGAGCAAGCCGAGGCAACACAGCAGGAAGAGTTGCTCGGCTCCATGTCTCCGAGCGCACGGTTCCTGGACGTTCTTGTCAGCTGACTGGGCAAATGCTTTCCACATGTGCTCGGTGCTTGCGCAGCACAGTCGTAGCAAGCAACAGCACTTGAACAAGGGTAGCAAGGGTTTATGTTCCCCTCGGTCACGTAGGTCTTGCCGATTGCGGCGACAATAAGGTCAGCTGGTTTGAACAGCTGCCAGAAATCAGCAAAGATGACTTTGGCCCCTGTTTTGCACGCAAACATGTCCGAGGCGCAAACGGACCAGAACCGCAAAGCGACAATTCATCACACCGAAAGCAGCAGTGAGCCGGACAAGCTCATTCAAAGGATGACGAACGTCAAGCTTTTGGGGTGAGCAGTAGAGCTCAAAGCTCAGCATCGCCTCTCCCAGGAAGCGCGTTTCGTACCGCGGGGTTTCCATGCTGCGCTCCTGGATGTCTGCCGAGTCCTACTCGACCCTCGCTGCAGCTGTGTGATTGTTTGTGTGTGTTGACAGGTGCACGATAGTGTTTCGATTGTCGGAGGAAGAACCAGCTGTCAAACCCAGTCCAAATCCAAAAGCACTCGCGAAATAAGGAATAAGAATGATGCGCAGAAGTTGGTTGGCGAACATGGCATGAGGAAGAAAGCCGTCATCAGCCACTTGGCTGCCGTAGTAGGATTTTGTTTCGCTGGGCTTTCTAGAAGAGGAGGACTCGTTAGACTCTAGTTGTACGGGGTTCTCTTTTTGAAGAAGTGTTTGCCTCGGGGAAAACTTGTCGTGTCGTTCGTCGGTAGTTCCGCGAATCACGCCTCCGTTCTTGGAGGACACATTAATATTTTGTCCTGCCGGAACCTAAACTCCGAAGGTTGTTGGTAGGCCTTCAGAGGCTGTGCAGGTTTCCAAGTTCCTTATGACTGGTGGAGCGGATCGTCTCAGTCATGAAGGCTAGAAGTACGAATTCGCTACTCAGGCAAGTTGAAGGGTTTGCTGGACTATGTTGCTGGGGCTCTGGTGCTGGCGCAACTTGGCTTGCACTTTTTCAGCACGCACAGGAACGGCAGTGTCAGCACTGTCCGCAAGATCAAGAGGTCTATAATCTGCACCGCTTGGAACTATGGTGTGGGTAAAGAGTTGTCAGATTCAGAGCTCTTGCACTTGTTCTTGCTCTACCTACTGACAAAGAAGAAGTAGCAGTAGTAGTAGTCGTCGCCGTCGTCGTCGTGCTAGTAGTAGTGGTGCGTCGTAGTCGCGGTCGCGGTCGCCGTCACTGTCGCGGTTGCGGTCGCAGTCGCAGACACTGTTGTAGTCGTGCTCGTTCTCGTAGTCGTCGTCTTTGGCTTGTGGTGTCTGGTGCTGTGGTGCGGGGTAGTGTGAGGAGGTGTGTGGTGGCGTGTGGTTTGGGGGTGGTGTGTGCGGTGGTGGTGGTGGTGGTGGTGTTGGTGGAGAAGCAGCAGCAGCAGCCGGCAGGGCATCCACAGCAGCGGACACTGCAGCCCCAGCCGTCGCGGCAGACTTAGCTGCAAGCAAGGAGTAGCCGTAGTACTTGCCATACTCCCGTAGTGTGCATCGCTCGTCGTGGTGTCGTGCCGGTGGTACTGCTGCTCCTTGCGCCGGTATGCTTATGCTGCTTGTGTTGGCGGTGTGTCGGTGGTCGCGTCGTCGTCGTCGTCGTCGCCGTCGTCGTCGTCAGAGTGGTACCGGCAGAACGGTAGAATTGCGAAGCGCTATGACAGCACGGTGACTGCGCCTAGGAAGATGACAGAAGTTATCTTCTTCCGGACTGTAGTCATAGCTGGTTCGTCGGTTTGACACCCGCGAGAGGTTACGTGTCTTCGTGAGTTGGTTTTGCAGATTGAGGATGTTACGGGACTCACACAGCGGTTCGCCAGCACTGCCTATCGCTCGTCGTATGTTGCGATGCCGAATACCTCGTCCCCATGCCCTATGCCAGCAGATTGCAAGGAATGCCTTGATGATGGTGTGTGAGCTAGAGATGGAGGGCTCAGCAGCAGGCCGCTGGGATTGAAGAGAGATTTCTGAGACTTCTGACTGTTCTTTGCTTGGCTCAGCTGGCCCTGACGGCCCGGACCCTGGCGAAGCTGAGGTGTCTTTATCGGCCTCAGTGAAGGCCCTCGCCTCAACGACGTGGCCTGGTCGATTTTTTTGTTGGATCTTTCTACCTCTGATCGCCCCTTTTGGTTTCTTTATGCCTTTATGTGGTGTCCATGCTTCAGGTGGAGCCAGTGTTCCGCGCCATGGATGCAGTTTTCGTGCCTTGGACCTCGCAGTCTGTTCGGGCTGGGAGTGGATGATAAGTGCGAATCTGAGGCCCTTAGCACTTGCTCATGCGTGACCGTGCCGTAGCAGGTTCAAGGCGGTAGTAAGGCTATGGTATCCGGCTTTCGTGAGTGTCAAGTCCTGATTTGTGCGAAGCCAAGGTCTACCTTTTCTTGCTGGAACTGCTCTTTCGGATCTATGCCGAGCGTAGAAACTGGATCAAGGACATGGCCAACTGGCTCCTGGACGCGAAAAAGAGCTTCAACAGCGGCAGGGTTGATTCGGGTTGTAAGAGTTGCTCACAGGGCTTAGGGCCTGATTCATGGCTATTGTTTAGCAGATAATGGAGGTTAAGAACTAATGTTCGGAAGGCATGCGTCCATAGCCAGCAAATTGCTCGGAACTCTGTTCCTCGCAATTGGACATTCTCGCTTTGTGTGATGAGTACCTTTCTGCTGTGTCATCCAAATGCACGTTTCGCGCGTGCGCTGCCGCGGCCCGAGTCCAGAGGCTCAGAAAAGTCGGTGCTGACCTCACAGGGCATTTTGACTTCCGCTGAGGTTCGATGCATTCCTGGTGCTTGTGAGCCTGGTGGAGTCCTGGCCAAGACTGGATCGCGACTCTTCGGGGTCGGACTTCGGAATTTGGGGCTTCCGAGGGCTCAGCCTCGGCATTTTGCAGCCTGGCCGAGGACATGTACGTGCTCACGCCTTTGGCCATGGCCAACGACGAAAGCCAGGGGCAGGGAGACATGGCTCGGCCCCCACTTTCTGAAAGCTGCAAGTTGTATTGAAAGATGCTGTGTATCGGTTTGAGTGTTACGAAAAATCCCGTCTCTGTAGAGACTCTTTCAGTCGGCACGAGATGTGCAGCTCATGCGCGGCCAGAGCCCTCGATCCGGAAGCTTGCGAGGTCCGCTCGCTGAGGACTCTGAAGTCGCTTAGAGCGATCCGAGTTCTGCACCTTGATCGAGTTTGGCTTCTAGGCAGTTCTCCGCTTCGGTTCGATGTTTTCGGGAGGGGTCTAGAGCGTGACAGAACTGGAGCCGCTGAGGAATAGTCAACAGCGCGGCAGGGTGCTCCATAGTATCGCAGTCGCTGTCCCGAGATGTAGACCGAGGAGAACGTTCCGCTTCTTCGACGGTCTACGGCTGTTTGCCAAGGCCGTGGGAGCAATGGGCACGAAGAGCACTGCAGCAGACCGTAAGACCGAACAGCGACACAGTGGAAAACCGGTCCAAATCTGCGGGTGCATTGGATGAAGCTTTCGGACTTATTCGTGACCTCCGTGGATTGGCAAAAACCTGGAGCACTGATTTTCTCGACAGTGACTTCCCCAGTTTGTCCACATCGTGAGAGTCCAAAAACTGTCCGAAACCGAAAGATCAGTGTTTGAGCTCGCCAGGCTTGCTCCAGCCTGCTGCCATCTCTTGGATGGCCCTTGGTCAAAAACTAAGGGTTTGGGGTGCTGATCAGCGGTGGCTAGTGTGGCTGCATGAGATTGAGGGCCCCAGTCTGATAGTTCATGATGACGACTTCGTGAGAGGGGTGGGATTCGTTCGCATGACTTCGAAGCATGTCTGGGGACCGGATTTTGTGGTGCATCCTGCCTTCCTGTCCGCAAACCTACATCAACTGGAATCCTGGAGCCGAACAGTATGGCAGGAACATCATTGTGTTACCACGTTCTCAGTTCTCAGTGCGGATGATCATCAGTACGCGATAGACTTTGCAGGCCTCTCGTGTTCAGGGATTTAGGTTGGAGTTTGGCGGCGCTACTTCCCAGATGCAATAGTCTGGACGTGCTACTTCCCAGCTGATTGGCAGAGTCTGGGTTCAAAAAAGGGTTTATGCAAAAGGGTGGCTAGAATCGGCTAGAACCCTCTTTGAGTCGCGAATCCCAGTGCTGAGCCATCTCTTGGTGCCACGTGCTCAGTGTCGTGAAAGTAAGGTCCCTGGTTGTCCTTGGCATGTTTATCTGTATGGGCGCCCTGCTTATTGGCAACCTGCTCCGCAGCTTCATTCTCGATGATTCGGCGTCTCTGGATGATAGGCCGGGAACCTGGACAATTCAAGCCAGCCTTGGGTTTGTCTGGAAATCCTGACTATGCAGCACAAGTAGCATACTACTGCGGATGATACGCGTAGTGTGCCAATCACTTAGACTCATAGTGCCAGACGACTTCATCCAGGAATCTTGGTTCCGAGGCTCTTTCAGTACATAAGAAGGTTCCCGATCCTTTGCGCTTCTTTAATTATGCAGTGCCGAGTCAGGTTTGCATTTTCGCTGAAACTTGGCAGAATGATCCAGTGAATTCTGCATCGGTAAGCCCTGCAGAGCCCGAAGTTAAGCAACCCCCTGCAGGCAGTGGATCTGGAACCGCTACGGAACCGCGTTCCGCGCCACATACACTCTCTACGAATCTTGGTGGGTGTTCCCATAACTTTGTAAGGAAAGCCTTCGGAGACACCGTGACAGATGCAGGTGCTATCTCTCAAAGTCCTACCCACTCAGTCCGACGTTGTCGCTTTCAGAGACTACGGTACGGCACGAGCATCTTCCCCCGCCGCCAAAGATTCTGTGTTGTTGCTCGAACACAGGGGGCTTTCAAGAGAGTCCTATGACTTCGTCTCGTGAAACCTCATGCAGACAGCTCTCTGACAGCTCCAATCACCGGAATGAAGAACGTTAAGCGTTTGCAGACACCCATGTTTGAGTTGTGAGAGCGTATAAGTCCATATCGCCTGTCTGTTGCCAGTCCTCCAAAGTCCGCATGTTTCAGGGACCTCTGTCGTGGATCATGCGAAGCTGAAAAACTGCACTCTGCTTTCTTCTTCTACCTCCACCCGAAGTACTTGGCAAGGAAAAAGGCTGACAAACATACAAGGAGTGCAGTGAGGTCAACAAATGATGTTGGGTGGTTCTGTGGATGTAACTCTTGCATCTTGCGCAAAGTACATGCTGTGGTTCGGTGGACGAGAGGCATGACTTTTCCGCGCTCGCCTGGAGGATGTTGTTAAAAAGTTAGTTATATGTCATCGATGCTTTTCAGGTCGCTGCATTGCGTTGTCCTCCACAGCAGTCAGAGGTGAACCCGCGTCAGGTTGCCACTTTCACTCACCCTACGACACGCTTGTGCAAATACGGGCTTGATCTAATCCGTACTGTAGCTGAAACGAGTTTTGCTGCTCGGCACTTTCGTCGTAAATGGCGCGGTGCCACCCTCAGCAACCTTCTCGCATGTAAGGAGGTGACTTTTGCAGGGAATTGGCCTACGAACGCACGACCTGTCTGGGGCTTGGCTGTGTACCGTCCACAGATCACCACAGAGCGCGGGTAATCATTGGGTACCCACTGTGATTTTTTGTTTGCGGCATGTCAGACATGGAGGTGTTAAGTCGATAGCTCACGTTGCGTGTCATCAGCATATTTCTGCAGAGGTGATGGAAAAAGTGAGTCACCTTTTCGTGAGACTTTGCGGCACTTACGGACGAGGTGCATTCGGCTTGTGCCTGCATGTGTGCCGACAGCAGCTTTTGTATCGGTGCAGGTTCCTTTGCCATGTGTCAACATGGGGATGCGACGAGTTACTGGTAGGTCTGACATCATTGGATTACCAGACCTTGCGAGGATCTTCTTCCTCGTGTATATCACAATCATCGTACCCCGGTGGCGCTATGCTGTGACGCCTATGAGCCATCATTATTGGATCTGTTTGTTTGCAATGAGATGCCAACGGCCAAAGTGCCGAAGAATCCAGGTGTTTGCGATGATTCGAACCGGCCTCAGTTTCGTCAGGCTTGCGATGAGAACCTGCGTTCCCAACACATCCGACTCAGAACTGTTTTTTGTTTTGCCGAGGCCTGACTGTGAGTGTTGCGAACCTGTCTA